CAACATGCAGTGCAGACCTCAATCCGATCGAATATTTATGGGATGAGCTAAAACGGAGAGTTCGAGCTAGACTTCGTAGTCCAACCTCGATCCTATAGCTTATTGTTGCAGTGGAGCAAGAGTGGCTTGACATTCCACAAGAAACAATAGCGAACTTAATTAGATCTATGCCTAATCGAGTCAGAGATGTTATTGGGACAAGAGGGGGTTATACCCATTATTAAAAAATAAGTGTTGAGTTGCTAATTGTCAAATGCCCTAATAAAAAAAAGTTTATTTGACTCGTGCAGTTATTTTACTATGCTAAACCTGAAAAGCAGAATTAAATTTTAATCAATTTATACTGGTATTAAAGTACACTAAATTGCCTTTCAAACAGCACATTTTGTTTTATCTGAGCAGTAATTTCTCAAAAAAAATAAAATAAATTGAAGTCAAAAGTTCGCAATGGTCCGATTTCTATGCACGCAAGTTACGTTTCCCCCTATTATGTGTTATATAGTGTTATGATAAACTTATTAAAAAATTGAGATCCTTTCTCCAAATATTCAAGAATGCTAGGATATTTTGTGATATAGAACACCTAAAAATGTTGTATAATGCATTGGTCGAACCGCATACGGTCTCTTAGGGTCCACCCAACCCTAATAACTACTACAGGAAAATTGAAATTACCCAAAAATGGATTCTTAAAGTTATATATGATAAACCGCTTATTTATCCTATAGAAGAATTGTATCAAACAGCAAAGATCTAAGATATTAGACAATTATTTTTTGTCAAAATTACGAATTATTATGACTAGCGCAAGGACAGCTTACTTCTATTCGAGCACGATTATTCGACACGATCCTAAAGACAAAAACTGCGAGTAACAAGGTCAGAAAAGTCTATAGGTCAAGTCAGGAATCCTTTTCTTAATTAGTAACAAAAATTATTGCCGTGGTACCTGAAGTAATTTTAAATTATAGACCCTACATTGAATATAAAAAGAAAATAAAAGCATGGGTTATTCAGCAACAAATAGAATTAAAAAATTGTTATTCTATTATTACAACTCATTAAGTTTTTAGTTAAGATCCATAGACTTTGTTCCGATTTTTGCAAGTCTGTTATACATCACATTCTTAAAACTTAAAATTTTATGTATTTATTTTTTGATTTATGTATATTGTTCAGCTCACACACAAATATTCATTTGGTAATATTTCGTGGGCTTCTCAACTATTTATTCACTATTTATGTATCTCTACTTATTTAATATTCTTTAGAATATGTTATTTGTAAATCAACTATTATTATTATTACTATTATTAAACATAAACACACTCACATATAAAGACAAATACAAAACTATTCATTCGCATTCAGTCAAGCTCTGAAGAAGCCAAGAAAAATATTCAAAAACTAAATATAAGCATAATTAAAAAAAATACAACGACTGAGTATGCGATTCATTAAATCCGCTTTAATTATTCATTTTTTTTGTGGAAAACAAAATTACTGTCAAAGTATTCCTGAAGCGAATAAAAACAATTACCAAACAGATACTTTCACTGCTCTTTTCAATTTTTCATTAGAAATATCTTTGACAGATGTCAGCACTCAGTAAAATAATCAGAAACAGATTTTGACATTCTATACCAGCGGAATAGTGATTAAATCATTCATAAAATTATTAGAGTGATGGTAAGTGTGTCTTTTTATAATGAACTTCAATTAGGATAAAATAAACAATGATGGCTGGCAAACGCATAATCCTGTGGCTCAGAAAATGGGGTCTGCCCTCTTTGAATTGTTATTAAATTAAACAAAACTTTAATTGGTTTTAAAATTCTAAAACCATATTAACTTCACATAAACTTAACCACTGTATTGGAGTGAAAAAAATAGAGTGTGGCCGATTTTTTTTTGAAAATACGCACATTTGTAGAAAACCGAAAAAGAAAAAACTTTTTTCAATTAAACTTTTAGATATTTTAATTAAATTTCACCCTTATGATGGTTATTAACGACTAATAACCTAATTTTTCTGACGTTATTTTGAAGTCAACATTTTTAATTTTTGGAACGTTACTTTTTGTTAACGTTATATTAAAGGTTAGAATTGGTCTAGGTGTCTTTCGTAAATTTGTGTTTATCGTAATGTGTTGTTTTGCTCGATATTTTTGAAGATCAACCCCTAATAATACGGACCATGTTTCTTAAACATTTAAAAAAAGATTTAGACCTCCCGCAGCAGAACTAGGACGTCATTGTCACCAAACTGCATTCGCTTTCCAATATTTTGCAAGTTCGAAAAATTAAAAAGAAAACTATGTGCTGAATGTGCTACCAAAATTTAAAAAAAAAATGAGGTGTAAAAAGTCCTCTAATAATCTAATATTTTTTATAATAAATGTCAATGTTGCATGATAGAGTCATTATTTAAAAACTTTCTTAAATTGATTTATTTATTATTTTTGATACACAAACTATACCGAAGATCAAAATTTGCAATAACTGATTAATAAAAAATGTGCCCACACGGCCTCTGCAAGATATATAGGAACGCCCACTGAAACTAAGTAATGTTAATAATCTTTTGCGGAGTAAGCTTGTCGGCAAAAGTGTTGCATCCTTGCCTATCTGAGTCGCAAAATGAAATATTTATTTTAGGCAATCGGAGTATTGCTTCCTTGTCTAGTTCAGTCCGGACCATTTCGACCAGTTCGACAAGAACAAGCGTTATCATCCATAAAAATAAAATTATTGGCAATACCAAAAGAGTATGAAAAGAAAAGAAAACGCAACGGTAAATTGTAAAAAAACTTTAAGAGCAAAATGTAAAACTGGGTGTTTAGAAATTGGTTACCGAAAGTCGTTAGAGTTTAGAAGCAATTAGAAGTTTATTTATTTATTTTTTATATATAAATTATTAGTAATTAGTAAACTTCGGTTGTGAAATTTAAAGTATGAACAAAAAGGTAAACTTCGCTTCCAACCTATGTGGGCAACCGGAACCCCTCCATAATTACTTTTCTCTAAGAACGCAAGATGATGTAACGGTCAAAATTGTTAATAATTTAATTTACCGCCAAGATTTGCTAAGTAAAATAAATGTTGGAGTTTCAAGAGATAGTTCTAGAGTTTTTGATCTACTTTACACAAACACTTCCAGAACTGTGGTTATGTTTGCTTGAAGGTAAGGTAGTAGTAAGCAGTAGATATACTAAGAGATTGTCGAACTTCCGTTGTCTTCATTTTATAAAATAAAGACGATGGAAATTCGAAGACCTCTTTGTATCTCCAGAGTGCTTATGGTTAACGCTTCATTACAAAATCTAATTCATTTGTAGCTATATATTAATAATAAGTTATAATCTTATATAAGTTATAATTTTAGCTACCAAAAAACTTAATAAATAAATAAATAAAAATATATCAAACCGAAATAGAAGATATAGTGTACAGTTCTCAACTGCAGCAATAAAGCTGCTGGGAAGAAGGTAGGTAATTGGACAAGCGGCCCGGAATGAATCAACTTATTCTGTAAAATTTGTGAAAACATTTTTATTGTAACAAAAAATTTGGAAAGGTTAAAACCGATTAATCTGTTTATATTAGCGTAATCTAGAGATGAATTTGGTTGATTTTTAATATCTTACTTATTGTCACATATAAGTTTATTTTTAAAAAATAATAATTTTTTGGAAACGAACGTCTATCTTTATTATCCAGAATATCATTTTTTTATTGAAGCAATATTATGCATTTTGGTAGTGCCAGCAATAAATAAATACAGAAGTACATCGAGATAATTGGCTTGGAGTTCTATGTTTCAAAATTTAATAGGTTTAATTTAAACAAAATATATATATTTACATATTTTTTGTTGGACAAGATATTAATTTTAATTAATTTTCAGTAATTTTGTCAAAAAAAGGTAGATCATACTCACGTTATTTCTTATATTTTGCAAAAATGTGTCAATTAAATATTGGAGTAATTAAACAAGTCCGCTATCTGTGACAAAGGTAACATATTTATCAACATTTGAATTTCGAACTTAAATTGACGAAAAAATGCTAGACCAAGTTGCGCAAAATGAAATTCGCCCCGTAACACATTTACTCATTCTTATAATATGTTGAAAACAATCTACCACAATATTGAAACAATAAAAAACACATAAGCATTATTATGCCGTCAAAGATGAAAACCATAATAGCTGGCAGGAAAGTGCAATATTTTCAATCAGCGAAATAATAGGATATAAATATTTTAACAATAAATTATTTCTTGTTTTATCATAATTCATAACAGATCCCCTATTAAAGCAAAAAATGAAATAAGCCGTTATTTATCTACTATATACATAAAAGTGAATGAATATAAATATTAAAGATATAATAAAGATAATAATCAATACAAAGTATTTAGTGAAAATTTGAAAAATATACAGAATTGAAAAAAAAAGAAACTTTTAATTTAGAAATAATCAAAGTAAAGTCTATAATTTCTTAGTTACTTATTTTAACTAGCATATTATGAAAGATAATGAATCTATCAGTTCATAAAACGTGTATACTTAAAACAATACAATACAACACTTTATTAACAGAAATATACTGCAAATTATTGTCTTTTTAAAGAAAAATTTTTTTTTTATATTAATGGGATCAGCAGCATCATATCATTCTAGATACTCTAGGAAAATGATCTACAAACAATGCTTTTTGATTTGGGTAGGAGAATTAAGACTCCGATATCTAAAATTCAAGGTGTGAATCAGTTCGGTATTTAATTTTTTCCGCAACAAATACTTTTTATAAAATAAAATAAATATGTAAAGTCTACAAATGCACATTTTTAAATTAATCGAATTAATTCATAATTGACTTCTAACTGAAATTTTCAAACGTGAAGGTTGAAAGACATGAAATTATAACACACTTCAACAAATTTCTCCATGTTTGATTGAAAAATTTACCAAAAATATTAATTGAATAGTTTATTACCTTTAAAGAAAGCGGCATTCCCGTATCGGATATTCCGTCACCATCTTCGTGGTCATCGACGACTCCAGAGTCATCTAACGAAGGCTGTTTACCTCCGCTGTTGCTGCTCGCCTGCCTGCTGTGCAGTGCGGCCTTGTTTGGATCTATTAAAAATTAATACTCTCAAAACATCATATTATAATAGCGACATCGTAGAAATACGGAGTGCTTCAGAATTCAGTACAAAGGTAAGGGCATATTTATCAGCCACAAATTAGTCTCCGTTTTTATAATAATAATAAACATTAAGTGGCAGTTTATTATACAATCTCAGGCACATGTACCAGGGATTCCATGCAGTTAAGGTTAAACAGTTCAAGGTTCTGATGTTATATCCGTGAAATATCTGCAGCTCGAAGTCCTTTCTATTTTTAAAAAAACAATATTAATGCTTCATAAATATATAAAGCATACACGGTGAAAATGGCTTCCTTATGCCAAGTGGTGTTTCGCCTATACCTGATCTAGTTCTAAAAATAATATAGTTTGTTTTTTCTTTGTTTAATATCAATTTATTTCCTAGAAACCAGCAATAACCCCTTGCGATAATATCGTTACCTTTATCACTAACCTCGGTAAGACTGTTTCCACCTACAAGCAGGTTGGCTAGTCTAGCATAGCATATTATGCTCTTTTCTTTTTACTTTGTTACAAAATACACGTCATTCACAAAAATGATGAATAAAATTGGGCGAAGAATACTACCTTGTTCTATGCCCAGACCATTTTCCTTAACTAAATAACTGCCATTTTTGGTTTTTTAACATTTTTTTTTCTTCCCTATAAGTGTGATTCAAAGAATTTTAGCACATTGTCTCTTACACCGTATAAATCTATTTTTTTGGCCAATAAATTCCTATCTATACAATCGTATGCTCTAGAAGGATCAAAGCACGTGCCTAAAGCTATTGTTCCTCCTATTGTTTTTATAAATTGAAAGATAGCGGTTTCTGTTGATTTACTTGCTACATACCCATTCTGATGACGATATTTCATAGCGCTTTCACCATGTTTTTTATGTTCTCAACAAAAGGCACTTACCAGGACGAAGTCTTTTATCACTAACGTTTTCAATTCTTCCAGAGTTTTCCAGTTTTCTGTTAGGCACAACAATTTACACATATCATTTTGTAGCATAGCATATTATTTATGCTGTCCACTCACTGCGTTTTGACGAATTATGGAGCATTTATAAGTTTATAATTATCTTGCTCTAAGTGTGAGCCAATAAGTGCATGATTTGCTGTCAATAATGTATTCCGCTCACACTGCCCTTAAGGCTGCGTTTAAAAAAAGATTATTGACAATTTTTGCCGTCAGATCAACAATTTAGTTTAGCTGTTTATATAAAAAAACGGATTGGCTGATTGGCTCATAACAATGACCTAAAAATCTTTGCAATTAATTTTCAAACACCTTATATATCGCCTATTTTTGATATTTTTCAGAGTAATAAACTACATGATGTCCCATGAAACATATTGGGAAAACCAGCTTCCTTAAAATTTTCTTGCATAGTTTATTAATTCTCCTCTATCACGCTTATATTCAAATAATTATATATGATAGAAAATTGCTTTTATTTTGAAAACCTTACCATTTGGGTATAGAAACCTGACTATATGAATTGAAAAACGTGTTAATTGTCTGTCAGAATATTTCACTTTTTTTTGTGGCAAATAGAATTTGAAAAATCTTGCAATTGCAACATGCCGTTTTCCGAAAATGGCTAATGTTCCATCAACGAGGAGACATTCTGTAGTCAGAACCGATATTCGCTAGAATACGTCTACAGCAAAACTCGTGACGGATAACGAGATTGCAGATACAAATTTAAAACTTTTAAATTCCAATATGAAGACGAAGCGAATAATTAACGTTTCGTGTTTTTAATTTGAGAGAGGGGAAAATGTTTAATCGAAGATACTCCTTTATGGTCATGCGATACATTAAAATGCTTTAGCTCGATTCGTTACAATTCTTTCTACAGTTTCCCCAACTTACGCAGTATATTCTGAGGGTGAAGGGTGTCCGAGTATTTGTGGTCAGCGAGTTGGACGTGCTTCTGAGGTACAATCGCAAGTTGTTGAGGGCGAGCAGAGTCCACCTTTTGTTCGTGTCTAGGACTGGGACTAGGACTTGGAGTAACAGACCTGCAGATAACATAATATGTTCTTTCTTTTAAAAGTTAATGATAATAGAATAATAATAATAAAATCAATATCAATAATAATAAAACATTTCACTTGCTTTTCCACACTACACAATGTTAAGCATCGTCTGATAGTATTAAAATTGTGACAGTCACAGACATAAGTAGAATCGTCAAACAACCCTTGCTTATCCAGCATATCCAGCAACAAACACATTACCTGTGTGTGATGAGATATCCAGGCACAATATTCTGTAATTTTCCTTTAAATAGATATTTGTAGTGACAGGTTCCTCATAGGGAGCGGTAGTTCTATAGTTGCAAATATATGACTTTCATGAGTTATAAATAACCGATCATTGACAGTTAAGTAACCCGATTTTCTCGGTACAATAAATATCAGACAATGATAGAAAAAAAAACATCTTCTGGGCGTAACCCAACAAGATACAATGAGGTACAATGCGGCGCCACTATCGCAACGTTGGATTCTAATGAGTGAGGTTAATATGGAGAGGGTCGCATTAAATCGTTTGAGTCACATTGATGGACATTCCCAAATCTTGGTGTAGGACCAATACAATACTTGTTAAATTTTTACAAAATAAAAATTAGTTATTATGCATGTACATAGTTGAGTGTTGAGTATTTACCAAATATTATTTAATATTTATATTAAAGCTGGATAGTAAATATCAATTAATCACAGGTGAAATAATCTGGATAATCGACCTTATTTGTTAATTATGTCAGTAGTTTTCTTAAAATAATTTGGATAGATGGATCATTTTTGGGTTAAAACTTTAGTTAGTCATTGGGTTTTTTGGAGACAAAAAGTTTATTTATTTATTTATTTATTTATGACAAAGGTGCCCTAACATGAAGAACTAACTTCACAATTTACAAGGACACACTAACAATTATACCATTATTTAATTAACAAAGTAAAACTTATAAGTAAGTACCTAAATATATCTACGATAAGCAGAAGATAAAAAAAAATAATAATAATAATAACAATCAAACTTACCAAGCTAAACCAAAACTAACACTGTATATTAAGTGCGTGAATTACAAAAAACAAATGTGAAAAAATAAGGAAAACAAATCAAAAATTAAAATTAATTTATAGAAAAACCCTAATTGCCTGATTTCGAAACGAATTAAGTAATAACGCAAAGATGTCTATGTGCGAAAAATAATTATTGTAATGTCTATGTAAAAGAGATATTGGGGAATTGTTACCTAAGTTTGTATTAAATCTAGGCACGTAAAATAATGAAGGAGTTCTTGTTATAACGACTCTGGCATTGAAGGATAGTTTTTCCAACAGTAAAGGACAGTCAATCCTACTATTAATAAAATTATGCAAAAATATAGCACTGGAGATAATTCTTCTAACAGATAACTTCAGTATATGGTAGAAATTAAGACTAGCTTCATACGAATGAGTTAGTAAGTTACGGTTAAATCTAAAATTTAAATGGAAAACAAACTTTTTTTGTATTCTCTCGATTCTGTCTATGTATTTATGATATTGAGGACTCCATATCACACCGCCATAGTCAAGGTGAAATCGAACGTAGGAATTGTATAGAATAATAAGCGATTTGTGATCCTGAAATTCCTTGCTAACTCTTAATATAAAACCTAAATTTTTATACGCTTTTTTTACTATATTCTCAATGTGGATATCAAAACTTAATTTTACATCTATAGTTATTCCAAGATCCCTAATCTGCTCTACTTTTTTTATTTTGCACCATTGAATGTGTAGTCAAAGTTTATATCATTTATCCGCCTGCTGGACTTAAGACAGTAACATTTATCAATATTTAAAAATAGACGGATTGTTTACACAGTATTCATAAAAACGATCAAGATGTTCTTGAAACTTATGACAGTCGTTAAGGCTTTTCACGGGCGCGTATGATTTCTGATCATCTGCGTATGATGTTGATTTAGCAAAAAGAAAACATTTACTGACATCTGCGATAAACAGTGAAAATAACAATGGTCCCAAATGGGACCCTTGAGGAATTCCAGATGTGATGCGGGTCGTTTGGGATTTTGCAGAATTCAATTCTACAAACTGAGTCCGAGGACTGATGTAGGATTGAAGAATTTTATAAAAGACAACCGTGCACACCGAAATTTTTTAATTTGATCAACATTGTTGGGTGGTGAACCTTATCAAAAGTTTTTGGGAAGTCGGTGTACACAGCATCTATCTGCACCCTATTATCTAACGCCTCAGAAACATCCTGGACATATAGTGAGAGATTGGTAGCAACCGACCTACGCCTAAAAAAACCATGTTGTGTATCTCCAAGAGCATGTTTTAATTTGAAAAATAACTCATTGGTAATTATTAGCTTCCAACATTTTCCCTGGAACGGAAAGAATAGATATAGAATATAGGTAGTTTGTGACGTCAACCTTGCTGCCACTCTTGTGCACAGGTATTATTTTGGCACACTTCCAAATAGTTGGAAACTGCCCTTCAGATAAACTTTTATTGTAAATAATAAAAAGTGGCTGCACTAAAGATTCAGCACATGATTTGAATAATATCGGGGGTAGGTTATCAAGTCCAGGGCCTTTATTTATATCAAGCTTACTTAGCTGGATCCTGATTAAAACAACAGTGTCACATGGCGGTTCTAACAACGGAATTCTCGAAGGAGTTGTATCAGGTTCATAGACACTCGAAAAAAAATCAGAGAATGCTGCACAGATATCTACATTAGTATAAAAACTACGATTTTGATACGTTACTGATTTTGGTATGTTTTTTGATTTTTTTTTATTATTTACAAAGCTCCAGAATGATTTCACATTATCTTTCAGATTACTTTCAGTGTTTTTAACATAGTTTTTGTAGTCTGTGCTTATTGCAGCTCTGACCTTCCTTCTCAAATTAGAGAATATGACATAATCAACAGGATTGTTGTACTTTTTCCATCTTTGGTGTGGTTTATATTTTTCTTTAATAAGCGCTCTCGTACTTGGAATGTACCAAGTAGGAAATTTATTATTTACTTTTTTCTTCGGAACAGTATCCGTGACCACCCCGTAAACCCTTTCATAGAAAATATGTACACAGTCCTCAACTTTCAAGTCTTTAAAAAGATCCAACCACGGAATACGTGACAGCTCTACGTTTATTACGCCATAGTTTGCATACCTGTATTTCAATTTCTCAAAACTACACTTTCCTTTAAGTGATTCCTGTATGTTTGTATCAATCAAAATATCAATACATTTATGTTGAGTAACTCTTTCCACTACAAAAGGGTCCACAGACCTCGTCACGCTAACATTTTTAAAATTACTAAAGACCAAGTCCAAAAATCCTGCATTATCATTAGGGACGCCATTGAATTGATCAACATTAATTAAATTGAAAGAATCAATGAGTGACTCACCATATAATCCAGATATCTCTGAGGGTACGTAACAACTATCGCCACTATCGAATATCCACTTTACTTTCGAAGCATTGTAATCGCCCAAAATAACACATTTTTTTGCAGGACACATCTGCACAATACTAGAAATTTTATTTAGGTGCGCATTGAGATTTTCAACACTTGATTCAGGAGGTGCATATACACAACACAGCAGAATAGACACAGATGCTTGCAGCTTAATTTCCACCCACAGATCCTCAAAAATCCCATCACAGCTCTAATCAAAATGTGCTTCTGATTCGAACTTTTTCGCGACTGCAATAAAAACACCCCCACCATCTTTTTTGTTTGATCTAAGTAGATCTCGATCCAACCTAAAAACTTCGTAATAATTTGTATCAATGAACTCAGAGTCAAAAATATTATTATTGAGCCAAGACTCAGTAACACAGAAAACATCCGCTTGATCAATTAATGTAGATAAATAAAACTCTTGCAATTTTGTTCTCATCCCACCCACATTCTGATATTTAATTTTAAACGCCATTGTTAAAAAAAAACTAGAAAAAACACTATATTAAATTTACGTTAAAATTTTACACACAAGGTCATTTCAGCATGTTTTCAGATAATATTTGTATCACTTTATCCTTATGGTTCAAGTATATTTTGCAGTCAAAAGTCCAGCACTTGGCTCCTGGATTTTTTCTGCAAAAATCGCGGGTTTTCTTGAATAACCCTTTATTTTCAAATGTCAGCTGCTCATTGATGTATATAGCCGAATCATTTCGGGATAATCCTGTTTCATTTAATTTAAGACCTTTCTTTTTCCGGATAGCAGCAATGACAGCATCTTTATCATTTTTGGATTTCATAGTAACAATTATAGAACGCGGAGTCCTGTTATCAGCATTCAGATGGGCAACCCTCTTGTAAGATTGAAAGGTATCCTTTTCGGTACCAAGAGCACCAAAGACTGAGTTAATTACCATACGTAGATCATTTCCGCACTTTTCTGGGATATTATTTATTTCTAGATTATTCATTCTTGCTTGCTGCTGCAGAATATTAACGGATGATTTCAATTCACATACTTGTTTATTTAGATCTGTTACCTTTGACTCAATCTTTGGTATCTCCTTGACTGAATTTTCCATTTCAATCATCTTTTTATTGAAGTCGTCGATCTTCCCTCCAAGGAACTCAATCGAGACCTGTAGATTTGTTTGGGTGGATCTAAGGTCACCAATATTGGACTGCATAACATCGATCTTGTTATTCATATCCACCAGCAACTTTTTTATAGTATTATCGGATTCTGTGTTATCACCGGACAAGCATTGATTACACCGGTGAGAAAATCCCTGAAGTTTAAGTACTTCAGTTGTGTAGGGAGACTCCAAACAGGTATTATGATATTGTTGTTTACAAACAAAACATTCTACGGTCACAGCTGACCGGCCTAATCGCATTTCACATATCTCACAGTTCAATGTCATCTCGACGAGCTCGGATATCGCACAAAAAAAAACGGCAGCAAAAAAAACTAAAAAGTACGATAAGAGATTTAAATTTATTACTATCTCTGGTTGTTTATACACGTTTTTTGTAAAATTACTAATGATAATGAACTAGGATTCACTTGAAACTAATCCACTAAAGTTCCGCGTAATTTTCTATACTTTTGTCGTCAAGATTCGAAATTAATCCGCACTTTAAATCACTGTTTTAACCATTTTATACGGAGCGATAGATAAACGTGTTTTACTTTAACGTGTTCGGTGCAGATGATGTTGTTGGATACATAGTCTGTTAAAGTTATAATTATTATAAAATATGCTTATTATCTATAAAATTTTCAGTTCGTGGACCCAGCTCTTCAAGTGGAGTTACTGGTTGTGATATTATTAAAACCATTTTCTATAAAAGAAGAGAACACTGTGACACTTTAGTGGCAAAAAATATTAAGACTGTTAAGACTTCTTCTCTACCATTGCTTCCAATCCGATTGCACATATTGAATGAGTTCAAACTGTCGGTAGGAAGAACAATATTTCGTCAATCTTGAATTCTTCTGTGGTAAATTTAATCCCGACGGATATGCAGAATATTCCGTACCAAAGCTGGGAAAATTTTGAAGCTCATGTTCAAATAGTAGAACGTAAATGTGGATATGCTGCCAATAGAAAGAATTGTGATAAACTTTGATGACGACAGTGACAGCGAGAGTGAAACAGACCTAGGTTAAAACTTATTTTTCGTTATACTTATTTTTCTCATCTAGTTAGCTAGATAGGGTGTTTCGATAATAAGACGGCGGGTCATACTGTAACAAAAATGCTTATACATTGCATAAGCAAATTAAATATAACCAAATAATACCTTTACGTGGATTGATTAATTATTAAAGAAATCGTCATAATTTTTGAACTTATGAAAGAGTATGCATGATATTGGTATTTGGGGCCTTGTTGAATACAAGTAATCGTGAAGTCCAAACCGATTATTACAAAGCTGATTAACATAAAAAAGTAACACTAGACAGGTAGAAGAAGTGAATATTCATGCATTCAGCCGCTCGAAGCACCGAACGCGTAAGAAAATCCAAAACAAGTGAAAATATGAACTACTGCAGGTGAAAATAACGTGGCGTCGAGAAATGGGTGTCGGAGAAAAACTCGGACACGAATATTTAAAGTGGAGCAAATTGGAGGCAAGTTACGCTTGCAGTAAAACAATGCGGTCACGTTCGCGACGTTTATATTTCATGAAAGGAATCCGGGACGAATCCTCTCGACGAGATTTGCAAGACGTTTATGTTCAAATAGCATTTAGAGTGTTAAAGTGATGCAATTTTTCGACTCGCTTTGTTTTAGCATTTTAATATAAAGGGTGTCACAATAGTGGTTGATATTTTGGAAACAGTTGGAAAATTGGAAAAATTAAAATTGCACAGATGCGTTAGGGTAAAATCGTAATCGTAAAAAATAGTAGGTTTCCTGCTTATCGGCAACAAGAGTTCAACAGCAGCGTAAATATCGAACAGAAATAAATATTTATCTTAAAGTGGGGAAGAGAAAACTGCTTGTCACTAGCGTCACAATAAAAAAATAATATCCGTTCATCGTGTTAGCGGTTTCAGAAGTTTCTTTTTGCATTTTGGTCTTTTTGTGTATTGCATTCCCGGTTGTAAAAATGACAATAAGCTATTTAAAAGATTCTAATGTGATACAATGGAATAAATGTATGCGTTGGATATATGTTGTAAGGAAAAAGCGTATTGCTGAACGAAACATAGGAAATTCCATGTTAATTTTTAGGTGGCCAATATTGCCTCTCCTGTACATTTTATAGAAATGTCGTAATACAACTTTTTGAAAGGGCCGCTATGATTAACTCATGTGCCGAGTTTGAATAAATTATGATGAGCCAATCTTTAGTTATTGAATTAAATATGCGAGCAAAATTAGAAAATTTGTACAGTTTAGGTAATAAATCAAACACCAGTAACATACATTTTGACAATGACAACACGAAAATGCGTGACAGTAACAACGTTTCTATTTGTGATTGTTTGTTATTAAACGCGCTAAATATGCGTTACTCAATTCAAGAAAAAGTAACCATAATTAAGTGGTAGTATACAGGAAATAGTCTTAGAGCAGTGTCAGCAATGCATCACCCGGTATAACACACTATTTTAGCATAGAGATGAAATTGTTTCTTGGCATTACTCAGTTTTTCTTATATAAAGAATGCCGGAGAAGTTTGCAACAATTAATTTACCAGGTATGTAATTTTTCATCCAGATGTTGTTAATTGGTATGCGCTCGTTTTATTGGACATAAATTTAAACAAAATAAACAAAAATAGTTTAAAACTACCTAATTATAACCAAGTCTGCCAAAAATTTTCTTTATATGTTTTCATTAACTACAAATTAATAAACATTATGTAAAAAAAAAAAAGATGGTAATTCTTGGACAAGTTGAAGGTGTGTTTTGACATTATATTATAGCGATTATTTAAAAAATGCAGTCCTTTTATTTTGCGAATTTTTAAACCAAATGGGTACTATTTATAAGCTAAAATTTACAATTGCGGGCGAGACATTTTTGTTTTTATTTTTCAACTTTAAGCTCATCTGCAGTTTAAATGCGACTGTTTGCCAAACGCTTCTTTTTTAATTTTGGTTAGTAATACTTTATACGATATTTTGGCCCAAAAATAACAGTGATAACCTGTCGGGAAGTTTATGGCGTTTTGTGACATAATTGATACCGCCTGCTCCGAAACGGCGACCAGTTTCAACGACGCTTACGATTTCAATATAGCTAAGATCTAGGCCATTTTCATATTTATATTTATTTTCCTTATGAAACCCCTTATATATTTTTTCGTATTTGACCATTAATTCTAAACATATTTTGTATAACATTATGCTACGTCTTTTGCTAGGTCTTTTGAAAAACATCGTACACTATTTGTTTTTTGACGCGGACTTATGATTTTGAACAAAAATATTCTTGGAACTACTGTTTAACTGCTTAAGTGAATACAGTTAATCAGCGCACTCAAAGATGTTTCATATATTGGAGGGAAATGAAGAAATTGTTTTTTTTTATTTTCTTTTACTTCACGCTTTTCCTAGCATCAAATGTTTCCTTTCCTATACCAATATGTCATGGTGTTATGTTGGTTTGAAGAAATATTTTTTTATTGAAATTCAGGATTAACAAAGTATATCTAACAGAAAAAATTATTTAATTAAATGGTCAATGGAAGTACCATATCTTTCAAGCCATATTTGTGATCTATATTCGAAGTTATTTACCAACTTTTTTCATTTTAAAAGTGTTCAATCCGGCACGCCAGGTAATTTTTTCTAATAAACCTAAAATTTTCGGAGTAGTATTCGTATTTTTAAAATTTATAACTCATCTCTAATTTTACTCAAAAAAAAGAAGGTGAATCTCCACCTTGTAGTAACTAAACGTGATAAGTTCACGTTTCAGGTTGCTACCGAGCAAAGATACAAAGAAGCAGTTTTCAGGTAAATGAAATGAAGAGCTGCTGATAGTCTTCCATTGTCAACCACTACATTTTTCAATGTAGACAAGGCGCCTCGCAAAATTCTGTGACTAATAGGTGGACAGCCCTTAATAAAAGATTCTTTGTTTGAAAATATTGGGATTTCAGTCTTCAGTTTTTCATTTTGTAAAATACAGGACTTTACTTTTTGTTTCAAAAATATCATTTTGATTTATAAACATCGCAGTTTTCCGTATATTTTGTTAACACCTGGTATGCTTAAATATTGTGTTGGATTACACTCTTCTAGCAAATTTTCTAAGTGCACACTGATTACTAGCAAAAAAAAAATTGCCCCGTACCCTATTACCACCCCAAATTAATTTTAACAAAGTCTATGGTCTTAAAATATATTTATTTCGTTTTGATAAGAATTTCGGTTATCTATATATAAAAATTGGGCAAGTTTTCATGATGTTTTAACAGCTTAAGACAAATAACTTTGTTTCCTTTTAGTTTACGATATAATATGAATACGCCATTGACGTGAGGATTTGGGGGATAATAGGAGAGAGGAAATTCCTCACTTCTCTCAGTGTGCCATTTTTCATTTAGAAAATTTACATTTAAAGTCTAACCTAACAGAACAATTATACCGACCAAGTTTCAACAAAATATGTAAAATTAAAATATTTATAAATAAAAATGTTATTTTTTAAATAAAATTTAATAAAAATTTATAGAAACTGCGAGAGAAAATCAAAAATGGCCTAATAGAAGTCCCTATATTTTCACACAATAAATATGTTGTTAACAAGGTGATCCATCTCTTGGAGTCACTCTGTATAGATCTGGACCGCAATCAGTTTCGTATTCACAATTTAAATTTCATTTCACCGACATCGCGAGCGGTTACGAGAGAACACGATTTTAAGCAAAAACTAAGTTTATAAAGTTAAACCACCTCGAATTGCGAAAGTTTTGAGTGGCTTTCTTCTTATTAAATCTTGTTAGCTTAAAACGACTCACCTGACGTCACGTCTGGGAGACTGTTTCTTCGGACTGGTCTCACTGCTCCGGTATGTATTGCTTACGTCTTCGTCCGATTTTCCTCCTGCGACGGGATTCGTCGCACTTTTTCGTTTCCGACGTCTCGTCCTTTTTCGCGTATAAGATGAGAGAAGAACCCCCTTCCGGGCGTCGATTTTCTTGATTTTGTGTTTCGACAGTTCTTTGACGTTCAGTGTGGTTGGGTCGAAACTGAACGTCGAGTCTTCTCGATGATCTACCAGTTCTTTTTTACGTTCCTAATAAAAAAAAAACAATATTTACACTGGCATCGAACTTGGAAACGTGAAAGTCAAAGGACACCACTTTCATTATGCAAAATGTGTGCGAACAAGATAAGGAAACCATAAGTGATACGAAGATGGTTAAATTAGAAAAAAATGGAACATTTAAAGGTTAATAACGTGCCGTTGAGAAAAGTAAAAGAATTCCATCACTTCCGAAGATACGCCAATAAAACTTTTGCCGATTTAGTTGTTATTTTTTCTCGTTTTATTTAAAGGGATATAAAAAAATTAAGGATTTTTCGCACTTTTTGAGCTCTACAAGATAGCGTTGACACAATTTAAGTACGTTAGTTTCGGAAACTCATTATAAACTTTATTTTTTCATTTGATCCGTGAAAAAATTACACCTTGTATTAAATAGCAGTTTATATTACGAATACAATGATGTGCGGCACAATATAAACACATTGTTTAAATCACAAAAAGTAGTTTTTATTAAATTTTCAATATTTTGGTATAGGTGGGTTGTAGGAAATCAATATTCAAACATTATTCAAAATATTTTAGAGATAAAAATTCTGGTGCCAGGTATGGGATTAGATCATAGTTATTTCGGTATGAAAGGAAACTGTAAACTTGTAATTAGAATATAGTGTTGTAGAATTGGACGATGAGTTTAACATTTGTTTTATTTATTTACAAAAACAATTAAAACATTGTAAAAAAACTGTTAAAGTTTTCATTTTTTGTCCTTAATTAAAATAGTCTTGATAATTGTCTATTGTTCTTTCTTCAATAAAAATTGTATCCATTATTATGCGGAAATTTATTATTCGGTGTATTGTATGGTTAGATAAAAGACGGTGTTATGTAAAAGTATAACATAATAACACGGTTTGACACATGTCCTCAAGTTTACATATTCTTTTCGGTTCTCTTCACACTGTGGTTTGCCCATAGGATTCGAAAATATCAATTTTATATGATTTAAAATAAGGGGGAAAAAGTGCCTAATAAGTATTGTGTGGTTGTGTGATTTCCTTCACTAAGTTTAAGTGGACCAGAGTATTTTTATCTACGTAGGTACTTAATCTAAAAAATAAGAATTATTTCGAGGATTTCCAAGTGCTATTCTTGGTTAAAAAAAATCTGTATTGATCTTCTAAAATATAAATTAATAAAATTAAAATTATTTAATTAAAACTGATTTATTTGTCCCTTTAATAATAAGATTTCATTTCATGTTTCATAAACTAAATTATTTAATTACAATTTTTACAAAAAGATCAGGATCTTTTTGTAAAAAGCTGTGATAGAAATTAAGCCTCGATTTTTTTTTTACTAAAACTACTCAGAGTTTTTTACAAAAAGATCCTTCCTTAACGGACGACGAATCAAAATAAGGTTTTCGGTTTCACGGTTACGTTTTCAATAATACTCATTTGAAAACTATGTGGGTGCCTTTTTATTATTTATTACATAACGAACGCGACGAGGTTAGGAATGGAGGAAATGACGTCACGAATTCGTCGACGCTTTCTAGCTTACGATGTTCGAACTTAAATAAGATCAAAATGGAGAAAGCTAAGAGCAAGAAATTTTCATAGTACACTTTACTGATAAAATAGTATCGAATTATGTGAAAAAAGATGCAAAAGTGAATGTTGCAAACAAGCCCATTATGGTGATGCTTTTTCCTTTATTGAAGGTACTTTTCTCTGACAGTTTTTACTGGAATCAATCCATCTATTGGACCTTATGGTATTTGTCGAAACAAGTTTCATTTATGTCTTTTATACATTTGTTGTCGGATTTATGCTTTTTAATTGTTCTCTATCTAATTCACGGTATTCAAATCTCATTTTAACAAATAACTGTATGGAAGGTGAGACGCCTAATCGTAATCTCCTTTTCAGTTTATCCAAAGTAGAAACTATTTAGTTGCGATTAAGGGAATATATTTTCCTTCTTATCATACCTTGTTCACTATTGTCCAGAGGGCGAGATTAATTGATTTTTTGGTTTATTCGTTATTGGGTTTACTCTGTAATAATAGATTTAACTGTCGAATTGCTTTTTGGAGGAAGGTCTCTCATTTGCTTTCAAAAACTCCCTAACGTTCCTCCTTCAATATGCCGATGTTTAGAAATATGAAATATACAATTTTTTCTTCAGACTATAAAAAATTACAATAATTGCATTTGAAATTGAAACAGCTACAAAAAGAGGAGAAGAAAAATTGGACACAGAAACGCTGATCACCCTTCTCATCTTATTTTGAAGGGAAGAAAACGACCAAACATATAAACAACAAGCAATATAAATAGATAAATAAAAATAATTGAGATAACCAGAAAATTACTGATATGTGTTTGTATTTATAGTCCACCATAAGATAAATAGACTTTCCTGGCCTATCAAACGGTCTTTTATCTTCTATTTTAGTAGTGTCGACACCTTAGAAATTTTAAAATCGGTTGTACTTTGCCATTATTCGTGTTACAGTGATTATTTGTTATGTTTATACCGTGGATCGAAGAAAATTTCGACAACAGAATGGAGGAAAGTAACAAACCACGAGGAACCACTGGAATATTTGCTGCACGAGAATCGTTTAACGATTATATCAAATTAGAATTTTTATAATTATTTATTATGGGAAAATTGCACATACTGTTAGAAAGTGTTTAAATTTTAAAAAACTGTCTGAAAAGACACCAGTCAACGTCAACGTCAATAAAAAAATTCGCTAATAATTTATATTTTTAAATGTCTGCATTTGTGTGCAGTTTAGTTAACTCGAGTTCCAAGATCAACTTTGTATCGATTCTTTGAAACGATTCACTAGAAAGGAAGGAACGATGTGACAAGGGCATAATGAAAGTGTTTGAGAATGGTGATAGGGTGATACGATGTATAAGAAAAATAAGATTCCATCACTTGAATCATTGCAACAGATATTTAAAAAAAAGGTTGCTGGCGGTCGTGAAACATTGCACCGATTTCTGCACAAAATCGATTTTAGATTTAAAAATACTAAAAACCTTAGTTGCATTAAAGATACCCAATGGATAAAAATATTTAACTCAAATTCATCAATTTCGCGTAGAAAAACGTAATATATATTATGCACCTAGAGGAAAAAGAATATTTATTTCACACTACGGCTCGAGGGAATGCTAGGTGTCAAACGCTTTGCTAGCTTCAGTTAAAAAACATTAAGGACTGCTCATTAGACAACAATCACGACACGACAAGTGAACTTTTTAAAAATTGGGTAAAAAATTCTCGTGTTCCAAATATGCCACCAGGAAGCGTAATAGTTTATGATAATGCTTTAGTTAAAAAAGTACCAACGACCAGTAGCAAAAAAAAGGTATGGCAAGAGTTTATACAAAAGAACAACTCGTTGAAGTTCCAAGAACCATATCGTATGACCAGACTTATAGTTTATCATTTTTTATCACTGCGATTTGAGCCCTAATCAAATGATAGGAGCGAATTAAAAAATAAAATTAGACGTAATAATATATACACAAAAATTAATACCAGAAAGCAGTTGGAGGGACTGTGTTAATCATGAAACTTGAAGCGAAAAATAATTATAAAAAAGCTTGGGCAAAACCCTTACTTATATCATTGAATGCTAGTGGTAGCACAGATTAGACTATTCTGAAGACCAATGTTATTTAATAGTATTTATTCGACGAGGTTACGAGGGACCTCTGACTGTATGTTTGTATGTATCTATATACGCTTGGGTTTCCAAAAGAATGATATATATATAAATAAATAACATGATCCACTTAATAAAGTTATTTTCATTTTTACATAGATGAAATGAACATTTTTAAACAAATATGCGAATACACGAGTTCTTGGACAAAAATATTGAATATTTAAAAATATTTTCATAAGATTTCATGTAATCATGCTCTACCGCCAAGTTTAATAACTCGTTTAAAAAAGACAACAAAAAAATTCTGTTCTTATCAGTAAATTCCACCGGCAGTTTCAAACATGTACTTCGTATTTTTTCCATCTTTAGTGTAGAAGTATTTGAAAATTTAAAAGACCCTCAGGAATTTAGTGTTAAGAATAGAAAAATTCTATTGTCAAACCTTTCAGGTTGTGTTCTTTTTTAATGGTTTAATTTTTCGTGAGGCTTGATAGCTTGTTTTTCAATGGAGTTATTAAGCTTTGTAGTAGTGCACGAATACATTAATTCTTATAAAAATTAATTTAAATATTTGATATTTTCTATTACAATAATTAGTTAAATAGTGGAAATACAACGAAAAAAGAGTCCCTCGTTTAATTTACTGCCACAACTTTCCATTACAAAATACGTCACAGACATTTTGCTCAGTTATTTCGGTCACCGAGTAGAAAACGCGCGATATTCGTTGCAAGCGCACCGTGTACTTTGTCGAAGGCGTGAACCAAATTTCGCCTGCTGCTAACCTACTGCGAGTTGACAAGGGACACCCTCCAACGGTCGATCGGCAACACGTTGCCGAGTGCGGCGACTTATATTTTAATTCTGTAAACTTTGCTACTGCCCTGAACCGGTTTGCTTTATTAGCCCAAAAATGCCTAAGGGTAGATAAAAACGTTAATCAAACAGAAAAGGTGTTTGTAGTCATAATTACAGTATAAGAATCCCATATCATTCAATGAATACACTACGCAATGAAACAACACGTGTATTTTTTATACTTTGTTGCTTGTTGTTTATATTTTGCTTCTTGATTTCTCTCTTTCAAACCACGTTAAGAATAGTGATGCTAATATCTTATGTAGACCTTTATGCGCAAATTTCGATTTTTTTGTGATCAATTTTTCTTCTCTTTTTTGTAACAGTTTCAATTCCAAATGCAATGCCAGTATTGCACTGATGTTATATAGCTTTGAAAAAGAAATAGTATTTCGAAAAGTCAACTAATTGAAATCTGGGTTTTATTGCCTGCAAGATTCTGCAACATATAAAAACATCTTTCGATATGCTTTGA